AATTATTAAAAATCACATAAACACTTTCATCTCATTAAATCATAATCAAAATACAGAAAATGGCGATAAGTACGTACCCCCTGCCCTTAAAAAACAGTACCAGACGGAGACAGATGCTCCCTTAAAATGACTTAAACCACAACAGTGTGAAACAACAAAATCATCGACATGGTTTAAAAAGAAATACGGGAAAAGCCAAAGCATAGTAAAGCCTTTTACTGTCCTGTTAAACCAGTTGTAAAGTGCAAAATATCAATGATCAACTCTTTAAAAAACCCTGTGGTAATATAAGAATTTCTCATTTTTAACCAAAAGCCTTACATGTTGATAGGATAAAAGAAGTATTATGAATCTTGCAGGAAAACAAGAACAATCATTATACTATAGCCAATACGTGACAGCTAACGCTAATTTTTTTTAGCAGCAAATACCTACAGATTATACCCAAAAATTAAAAATACGAAATGTTGCAAACCAAGTTTTAAACACTGGTTGCAAGCCTTTCTCTATCTTATTAATTCTTTAAAAAAAAAAAATTCCATGTAAATCCAATAAAGTACATGTATTGCCTGTGTTAACGAATTTCATGGCCAACCATTGTTATATCATTTTCTGTTCCTCATTAAAATAATCCAATTATTTTATTGCCCTGCACTAAATCTAAGCTTTAATCTAATGTCAGACAAACACTGACATACAATGCATGAACTAATGTACTGAAGTAGAGTATTGGTGGAATAATAATACAACATCTACTTCTCAGTATACTATCCACATCTATTTATAGAAAAGGCTTGCAGGAGCAGTTAAAAACAATAGTGAAATTTTAGACTTTTATAATTCATAACCATCAAATAGCTCAGAGCCAATGCTGCATCTCAAAGTAGCAACATTTCTGTAGTTCTTCATACTGTAGGTATCAATTTTATTGTCATATCCAGTCCTCTACAGAATACAATGAACACTGGTAATGCAAAAGTAAGCATTGATTAATCACCAAAACTTAGAATGCATAATAAAAATTCTTATTAGGCCATTAGTTAATATAATAAAAAATTTAAATCTAATTTCCAGTAGGTTTATTTTTGTCAATCTGTATAAAGTAATTAGAAGCCTGACTTGAGTTGAATAAGCAAAATTATTACTTCCATATCCGCAAACATTTAATAAAGCCTCGGGAACTAAAACTACAGGGAGCAATAAATCCAGGACAGAAAAAAAATGTCAGAATCGGAGAAGCTTACATTTAAATTCTTTATCTCTAAATTTCAAACTCAGCTTTGATAGATAAAATATTCACTAATTTACTCCATTATGGTTCCTTGAATATAAAAGAAAACCAGATACCTTTACACTGACAATACCCTTTTAAAACATCCCTAAATAAAAGATCAGGCTCTAAAAAAAAAATCAGAGTTCATCATTTTAAAGATAAAATGCACTTAAATTAAAGTCAACCCTTAGCTTTCATGATGTAAAGTTATCATCTCCATTAACTCTATTCATATTTTTTTCTGCTTTGACTTATACAGAAAGCCTATAAGGCTGAAAATAATCTTATAACAAACCCTAACATGCCCATGGAACATAGTTTTACATCCTTTCTGAACACACTTTACTGTCCCTAATTGTATAACACAAAGCATATATTTATATTGTAATAAATCAGACAACATTTTTCTGATGGTATCAGTTTCACTCTTTATGGTCTGTAAAGTTAAAAACAAAATATTATAAAAAAAACATTTTGAAATCAACATTACATAAAGAAGACATCTGTTGTTGTTTGTTTTTTTTCGTTTCTGGCACTTAACATTTTGCCCTTGTCTTATTTTACTAAGATAAATAGGTTGAAAACTGGGCTTTTTTGCCCATATGCCCAATACAAATTTTATTTGAACAAAAGGTGTGGAAAGTCATTGTTTGTTAGTCTATTTGTTTAAACCTAACCCCTTTCCAACTACATATTCTTCATTATGTAAACTTCTTTTTGCTTCGAAACCACATTTTCAGTGTTTATACAGAGATAAAAATCTTTTATGTCTATTCAATGAAAATATTCACAGTGGATAGTCTTAGTTACTCATTAATCAAAAGCAGTATTTAATGCAATGTCAGTGAATACAATATTTAGTTTATGCCTTGGAGTTAAAAATGCATAGAGATTTGATAATAAAAAGTTCCAAAAACTACATACATGTGAAAAATGTATGCATTCAGCGCCTTGCAAATAGTCTTACTTCTGATTTTAGCTTATAAAACGGCGTCCTTTAAATTGACAATTTGTAAAGTATTGTTTAATATATGACCCAAAAGTAGCAACCCAATCTGACTGGTGAATGCCTATTCTGACAGGTAACCACTTATTCTGACAGGTGACCATCTAATCTGACAGGTGGCCACCTAATCTGACAGGTGACCACCTATTCTGACAGGTGGCCACCTATTCTGACAAATGACCACATATTCTGACAGATGACCACCTATACTGACAGGTGACCATCTTTTCTGACAGGTGACCACCTATTCTGACAGGTGACCATCTTTTCTGACAGATGACCACCTATACTGACAGGTGACCATCTTTTCTGACAGGTGGCCACCTATTCTGACAAATGACCACATATTCTGACAGATGACCACCTATACTGACAGGTGACCATCTTTTCTGACAGGTGACCACCTATTCTGAGAGGTGACCACCTATTCTGACAGGTGACCACCTATTCTGACAGGTGACCACCTATTCTGAGCGGTGACCACCTATTCTGAGAGGTGACCACCTATTCTGAGAGGTGACCACCTATTCAAACAGTTAGCCACCACCTCTGACAGGTATCTACCTAAAACGACAGGAAGCCTAGAGGCCCGTTGTAGCTCTGGATGAGCTGTAGATGTCAGGAGGGGAAATCTATTCAAAGAAAAATTTGCGGGACTTCCGAGTAACTTGGCAATGGCAAAAAACAAGGAGACTGTGTGAATTTGTACAAAGTTTACTTCATACCCAAACTTTTTGCCCTTCGTGTAGAATGCTTTAAATTAGTAAAGCACTTAGACCTGAATAAATTATTGAAAATACAGTGATGGTATCGTTAAGATACTGGGATAGGATGTAGCCAAATGGAGCCAAATAAAGGGCAGTCATTGAAGAAAAAAAATAAATGTTTAAAGTCTGCAAAAGAACTAAATCTTGTTCAGAAATCCATGGTTCTACAGGTCGACAATACACAGCCAATGCTAAAATATGTTGATTTAGATCAAAGATGTTCATGTGTGAAAATGAGCAGTTTGTAACTATAATTGCTCGACAAATTATTGATTCAATCAGATTTGAGTGACTTAGAGCAGTTATAAAAAGAAGGAATGAGCCAGAAACAAAAGCTGTGGATTTACAAAATTAATAGAACCATATGATGAAGACTTTTAGCTACAATAAATTACAGACTTATTGTCAGTGAATCAACTGTCCAGGCCACCCAGGCTGTCTAGCTTAAATCTACTTTGCACACCCAGAACTGGGACCAAATTTAAAATTCAACTCTCATGCTCCACTAATATGGAATAAATGTCCTAAAAACTATAAAAGTGCTGAAGCCCAAAGGTGCTTTAAATCCAGATTAAAAAGTTATTTGTTGAGAGGCTTTTGAATGTGCCATCCAAACATTATTTTTTTTGTTCAACTTTCCCTTCATTTTATCATCATTCTTATTATTTATCTTTTAATAAAGTTATATTATCCTAATTATTCACTTTTATGCTCTGCAATTATTCCTATACTTTTATGTCAATGTAGTTCACTTTCTTTTTCTTCTCATGTTAAGCACTTTGAATTTAATTTGCTACTGAAATAAATACTATAAATAAGCTTGTCCTGCCTACAGATTTTAATGTACTTCCTCCCCATGCTGAAGAAATGCATCACCACAGCATGATGGTAACACCACCTTGTCTTACCACGGCAACAGTGAATTATGATGATAGCTGTTCACCAAGCATATCCAGTTGCATGTCAACTAGAAAAGGCATCCTGCCTCACTTTCCACATGCATGCTCCATGATCTGCAAAGTTGGAAACAAACTGAGGACAGGAATTTTTATGGTTTTCATCTTGCCATTCTTCCACTAAGGTAAAAGTTGATGTCTGCAGGGTTGCATAACCACGTGTTGGTAAATTTCGAAGCTCAAATTTTACAATTCAGGTTTCCTATTCCCTATTCGATATTCGTAGCTTGGCATTGTGTTTGTAAAAAGTCACAGTAGCCCATCTGCTGAGCTCCAATGCGTTTTATTTAGCCATACCATGCATTTACCTCTAATGAATTTCTAGAACAAATTTCTTTTTCCTCCTTAAAGTTCGAAGTGATGCACTCCTCATCTTTCTCCTATAACACCAAATTAAATTATCTACTCATAAACTAATGTCAGATAAAAGATTGTAGCTTATCAACTGTCTGATCATGCTTTGATAAAAGGACATGTTATGCTAAAAATACCTTGTAGCTTTGGAATCATGGAACTCTTTGTTAATCCCTGGATTTGGGACAAGCATTAATCCCCCTCCTGCATGCTGTCCACATGGCTCTGCTATTAGGGAACAAACATTGTCAAGAGCCCCCCACCCCCCAAAACAAGCCTCCAGCATCCTAAAGGGAGGCTGGTGTTTCTAGAAGTTTTGGGGATAGCCTGCTTTAGTGGGTGGATGTCCTCAGAGTTAGTTTTGTGTATCTGAGAGGAGGGAGGGTGTGTCTGCAGGGCCCTGCTGCAGCATCAGAGATTTGACAGCTGTGTTTATGTCCCACAACAAACTATACAAGGAGTAAAAAAAAAAAAGAGCAGATAGTAAAAGGAAACAAACACCCAGCTGGGATCAGAGAGGAGGGAAACAGATGAAGAAGGAGCGCATAATGCGCATCTGTGTTCATTTTTTTGGGAACATAGAGGCTCCCAGCTGAAAACACGCACTCTACTATAACAGACACCGACTTCGCAGTGGAACTTACTCGTTTTTTACGTATCTGCTTTCATGGAATAGTTTATCCAGCTGGATCACAGCCTGTCCCAGAAACACATCCAGCCCGATCAGCGCCCGGTGCATCACGGTCAGGACCAGCTCGTTACTCCCCCCGCGCTCCAGCGCGCCGGGCAGCAGCTCGAACGAGCACTCCTCCCTCCACTCCGGTTCGGTGGTCTTCTCCGCCACGCCGGTCGAGTACTTCTCCTTCCCCAGCTGGATGATGGTGTACACATCGCTGGTGCCGTGTTTGCCCTTTCCCCGCAAGCCCCTGCCTTTCAGCACCGTCACCTGGACGTGCGTCGGTTCCCACTTCTGGTCCTCCTCCTCCACGGTTAGTGAGGACATGTCCCCTTGCAGACAGACACAGCTGGTGGCGTCCGCCGCTTCCTCTCTGCGGCTCCAAACGCAGTCACATCAGCGCCGGGGTCCGCGGGCGGTGCCGCATTATTCTTCTTATTACCTTCCTCCCCCCCTGGCCAAGTTATCTGGGTCTGTTTTCGAGCCTCGGCTGCTGCGGCAGCATGCAGGGTCCGTCCCCGCCTGTATGGGCCTGTCTGCGGACAGCGACGTCACGCCTCCTCCATCCTCCTTCTGCAGGACGAGGAAGTTGAGCAGCTTGAGAAGCACATGGCTGCAAACACAGAGACCGCAATAAGACGCCTCTGCTGGAACGCAGGATGTCATACTTCCTTTCTTTCTATTATTTTACGAGATTACCATCATACTTATACAATAAAAAAATCCGGACTAAGGAAAGACCTGCATTTAAACCTACAAGTTATGAGGTTTTTTTTTTATACATTTCTGCATTGGCGGTTCTAGACCAAATGTACCAGGGGGCCAGGAGGGGACCAGCGTTTTTTCATGGGGGCACAGAAAAGTATCCAATAAAAAAAAACTGGGCAAAGGATTCAAATATATTCAATCAATCTCTTTATTTAGACACAATTATGGTCCCACAATTATGGTCCATAAACAGACAAAAACAAGAACAATAAGAAAAAATAGGAAAATAAAAAATATATAATAAAATAATCAATCACTGACATAAACTAAAGCGCCAATGATTCCACAAACTGGAAAAGAATCTCACTGAGCTTTGAACAGGATTGGTCAGAGTCTGAATGATGCAGTTTGCAGAGTCTGTTAATCTACACATCTGCGCATAATGTTTCGAAGCACTGCAGCGCAGGTTGGTATATTAACATTCACAAACATCTGACTGGCACTACACCATCGGGGCACCTTAAGCAGCATCCTCATGCCATCATTATAAGCGACCTGAAGTTTATTTATACTGCTTTTCCTGTAGTGGGCTGTATACATTGGAGTACAGTATGCTTTAAAAAGTGCAATTTTGACAGATGCTGAGCACATGGAGAACCTCCGAAGAATATTAGCTTGTACATATTGAGTACAACACTGCCTGTAAATGTCTTTATCATCAGACAGGTCAGCGGTGATGTAATGTCCTAAAAATTTGACCTAATCAGTGACCTGGAGGATGCTGCCAGACAGAGTGAAGTCAGGAAAAGATAAGTTAGTGTCTTCTTTGCTCTTAACAATCATGATGTTGCTCTTTTTTGCATTGTATTTAATGTCATGCTGTCACCCATACTGAGAGCAAACCCTTAACAGTTGCTGCAGACCAGCACTATATGGACAGAAAATCACAAGATTTTCAGCATACATCAGGTGGTTGATGGTTCGATTACCAACCCGACAGCCAGTCCTACATTGATTCAGCAGGTTAGATAAATCATCCATATACAGGTTATATTTAAGGGGAACACCGTTTTTTTTTTTTTTTTTTACATTGGCCCCTTGATTTTACGTTATTACATCATGTTCTACTCACCCATATGAGTTTTGTGTCATTTGGAGCCATTCTGAAGATATTCGTTTAGGTTATATACAAGTAACATCTTCCTGTGGGCAACGACTTGAAGGCATAAACTAAGCTGTTTATAATTTATTATTTATGGTACGCCAGCTTTCATAACATGTAGGTGAATCACGGTCCCCCAGACATCCGCGATTATATATTTTTTATATATATATATATTTTTTTTTTAAAGCGGAGTGTGTATGACGTCATCCCAAGCCGGACTGGAGTTGTGACATGCCGCCCGGGCCGCAGGCGGCTACGCTCTAAACCTTCTATTCATTCGGCTAGCTAATCTAAATAATTCAATTCCATTTCGAGAGCGAGATCCTCTGTGGTAGTAATTTCTGGCTACACCAGTTTTAAAAAGCAAGAACTAAATGAGGTGGGTTTAAATTGAATTTTAGATTTTTTTCAAATGTTCATAATTTTACAATATTTATTAGCTCTAACATTGATAAAAACAGGAAATTAATGCAATACAGTCCAACACAAAGAACATATTACTCTCCATATTCTCAGCATAAAGCAGAGGACTCCTACTAAACACAAAGGAACAATCATTCCCCAATTAAAGCATAGGTTTCCTCAGATGCGAAACCAGAAACTTTTTATGGGTGGCCAAGCAATAAGCAATGTACACTGAGGTGTGGCCGAAGGCAGATGGGCACCAGAACTTTAGGGTCAATCTACACTGTTCCAACATAAAAAATGAACGAGCAAAACATCCATATTTTCAACAAAAAAAAAGACAAACTGTACTTTCCCACAGCCTTTGCTAACAAATATACGCATATATTTAAACATCCGTAATTTCTAGATAAAAGGTATAGTGGATAAAACTCAGTTTTGAGTTCTGGGGCGTAAATCAATCATCATTGTCATTACTTACCTACTTGTATTACATAAAATTGATATTTTAAAGCACTAATATCTACATAAATTGATTATTTTAAGTTTTTTAAGTTTTTATTAAAATTGTTATTTATCTTTGATTTCACTGATGACTCCTAGATGACCTGCAGAGACGCATCATTTCCTCTTTACCCCATAAAACACAAAATCTAGTTCTGAAAAGAATGAATGAATTTTGTATTTATCATCTTTAATGTTTGTATATTGATGTGTATAATTCACCACAAAAAAATAAAATACTTTGAAGATTCCACTAGAGTATTACTGTTGCCACCATCTGTATCGGGGGGGGGAATGGTAGGGGGGCCACAGGGGTGGCCAATGATTGGCTAAGAGTGGCCATGGCCACCCCTGGCCCCCAATCTAGCTCCAACCCATGGTGTCCTTGAGCTAACTTTGCCTGTAAGCTGGTTTCTTGCAATATTTGTGCGTTCACAAACACAGAGAGTCAATCTGAAAAACTCAAATTGGTAGGTACACTTACGTGTCAGTAGTCACCATAATAAGTGCTATCCAAATAGTGCAGGTAGGAAGGAGCTAGGACCAAGAAGCAGCTTCATAGCACCAATGTAATTAGCAGTGGGGTACACATACTTTTAGAGGGGCAGGGGCATAAAGGAAAAAAATGGCACATATGCGAATCCTTATCAGTGCTCCCAAGGGGAAACTTTAGAGCAGGCTTTGGCTTCCAAGAGGGCCCTTTAGCAGGCGCTTTGGCTCCCGAGAGAGCACTTTAGCAAATGCTTTGGCCCCCAAGGGGACACTAACATGAGTTAATATCTTGCGTTACAGGATGTATAGACACAGCCCACCTTGCTGGATTGAACAAAAAGACATTATTTATTCAGGTGCACGCAGTGTGACAAATGCTAATGTACACACCTTCATATATTTGGGGTTTTATAACATATGCCCCTGCAGCTGTTTTCTATATTTGTGTAGCTTTTTTTTTTTTTTTTTTTGTGGCTTCCCTAAAGGCTGTTGTCCAACTTTGACCTGCATCATTCATAGTGTGGCCATTTCTATAGCACAAAAGGAGGACTTTATGCAGCATATCAATAAATTACTAAGGCGTACCTAAGAGTCTGGTAAAGTGTCATTTATAGTACAATTGTGAGGGATTTAAAGAGGATGCTTGTGTAGCTGAATGAGATAAAAATTTTAATGAAAAGTCAAAAAGACTAAACAATGCTCTCGGCCCATTTTTTTTTGTGTGGCATGTACTTATTTTGTTATGTCCCCTGTAGAAAAGACTGCCTTCACCCTGGACCACAGGTACATATTGCCTAGAAAGGTGTACAAATTTATAAAAATCTACATTAGGGCATTAACGTGTTGTGAAGTCCACGATTTAACAGTTAAAGTCAAGGTCAAGTCGATGCGTCATTCTATGACGACATCACATTAAGTCGGGCTACAGGACAAGGTGCAAAATTAGTTAAAATATGTCTTGCTGCAGCGATTGTCTTTGTTACTGCCGGCAGGTCTAATGAAGCTTTTATTGCTAACTACATTGTGTGCAGTACTAAACCCATATAATAAGCTAAGAAAAAAACAATTTTCCATGCCGCAAGCACACACATGAGAGTCCACATGTGAGTCTGCCTAATTAAATGGAAAAATCAACTTTTTGGTGAATTCCCTAATTTACATAACCCAGGTACACTAGTTAAATTTTTATTTTTTACTGATATATTAGCCATTTTACTTACTAATATCTCAAAAATCTAATATTTTCATTGATAAGCCTGAAACCCAATGTCCTGATAAAAAACAGACCTCAGAAGCTAGTTTTCTTGGCCATTTTCATGTTAAATGCATGCTCATATGCTGCATGATCTGCATAGATTGTCAAAATAAACTATTGTTGTTGATATCTGTAAATTAGTTGGGGTTTTTTGGGTGCCAATTAGCACTGTTCAACTCAACCACTAAGTTTTGCTGCTTGTTTGAACAGGAAATATCTTGATGCGTGGGTTTACGAAAACACAAAGAGGTTGAATAATCTCAGGCTGGGAAAGAAATTGTGTCTAAGCTCTGATCTGTGTATGATAGGTTTAGCAAAATGATGAGTTTTTTTCTTTTCTATTTAATGCCTATTTTAGTTTGGTGGCTCGGTTTACAACAAATAATAGAAAATGAATTACTGAAATATCTTTTAATTACAGATTTTTAATTACTACAGAATCTGTAACATCAGCTGTTTAGAAATTCACATCTTTAATATGAGTTTCTAAGAGATACTCCAACGCAATTGATCTCATGGTCCAAAAGTCCATTTGATCAAGAGCTTTACCAACAGCAGATGTTTATACTGTCAAGCTGTGTACATGTGGGACTAACACACAGTAACAGTACAGTAAGTTGAAAAATTATTTATTGAAAAGTACAAAAATTAAAAAGAACAAAATACCAGCTGTTAGCAGACATGGATAAGAAGTAGAAGAGAAGCATGATCTGAATGTATTTTAAAAGAGTAATGACAAATGAAGCTTCACATTGTCTGTCAGCCATTTCAGAAGATGAAACTCATATATCATATAGATTCATTACTCATGTGAATAATGTCAAGCTTTTATGTCTTGTAAGTTTATGCTTATGGATAATGAAAACCACAAATGTGTTGTCTCAGATAATCACATCATTGTGGAAAAACCTCTAAATACTTGAAAATCATGATACCCCACTCTCACCACATAATAACCTCAAA